TTTGGGGGGAGAAACAATTGAAATATAAATATTTAATCCAGATGTTTCATTTTTACTGTCATTTACAACAATTTAAGGATTGAATTCATTTATTATTGATATCAACACCATTGCAATTTTATATAACATAAAAGCCTATGTTTGTTACATCAGCCAAAATGCCAGGCACTTTAAAGAAGTACAATATTACGTCTTCATAAAATCTTGTCACTGAGAATTACACACCTTAAGGTTAAAAGATGTTATTTAGCCCAACTCTTTGCCTTCAAACAAACAAGACTGTATTGCCATTTTAGATGGGGCAGCTGAGGACCAAAGAGGACATAAGATTTACCTGAAGATTCTGGATTCTGATTCTGACAATCAAAACATTTATTTGGATCACTGTCACTCTTAATTTACAAATGACAGGGAGAAATGAACATAAACTCTCAGACACAGATACACATCAAAAAATAAAAAGCAAGTAAGAAATTGAAGTGAAAAGTGAACAGCCCAGATTTTCACTAATGGTATTCAAGGTCTTACAGAGCTATGTCATGCACAATTATAATTGTTTGAAAGACTATAAAAGCAGTTTTGAAAGACCATAAAAAACCATTTTTTTTAGATTGATTATTATCAACTGTGTTATTTCTGTTACTTAGGAGGACAGGCTTAATTTCCCAAATCAAATTGCTTGCATTTCTTACAACTATTGCGTCTACTTTCAATTCAGAAAATTAAGACATTTTTATTTCATTCTTTTTATTACTATCAAACAAAACATTAGGAGTACTCCTTAAGAATAGTAAATTTTATAGCAACACTAACAGAAGGATGAATATGGTACAAGATCATTAAAATCAAAGTTAAGTAATAAAAATAGTAACAAATAGAAATAGACGCTAGTACAATGTAAATTAGGCATTTTTCAAAATCCAATTTATTAAATCTTGCAAGTGTTTCTTTGCTTAGAAGTATTTCTTGGATTAAGGGATATGAAATATTGGAATGTGACATCAGAATTGTAGATATTTGTACTGGGATAGAATGTTCCATAAATGAAAATATTCATGATCATATGTAGAATAGGGAGTTATCAAAAGGGTAATATGAAAAAGGTCATATTATGAAAATATTAAAACATATGAGAAGTAGGAAAAAATCATTTCATAAACTCTCATACTCCCATCACCCAGGTTCAACAGTTTTTAAGATCTTATCACCCTTGCTTCATGTATCTTTTTTTTTCCCTTTGTTAAACTGTTTTAAAGTAATTCACAACATGTCATTTTACCCTTATTCAGTTTGTGTCTCTATGAAATAAATAACCACAATTATATTATCATATCAACCAAAATTAAAGGTAAATTTTTTGGTACCATCTATGCACAGTTCATAAATCAAATTTCCCAGATTGATTTACAGATATCTTTTTATGGTTGATTTGTTCTAATCAGGACCCAAACAAGGTCCACTCATTGCAAATCGTGGTTAATCTCTTGAGACTCTTTTTAAAAATTATTAACATTGGTAGCGTACAGTACATTTATCACAATTAATGAACCATTACTGATTCATTGTTATTAGCTAAAGTCTATGCTTTATTCAGATTTCCTTCATTTTTACCCAGTGTCCTTTTTCTGTTCCAAGATCCCATCCAGGATTTCACATTACATATAGTCATCATAGCTCCTTAGGCTCCTCTTGCTTGTGACAGTTTCTCAGACTTTTCTTGTTTTTGATGACCTTGACACTTTTGAGGATTACTGATCAGTTATTTTGTAAATGGGAAATAGAGATTTATCTGATATTTTTCTCATCATTAGACTAGGGCTATTGATTTTGGGAAGGAAGACCACAAAGGTAAAGTACCATTCTCATCATATCAAAGATACATACTTTCAACATGACTTATTACTGTTGATATTAACCTTGATCCCCTAGCTGAGGAGGTGTCAGGTTTCTCCACTGTAAAGTTACTCTTTTTTTTTCCCCTCCTTCTCCATACTATACTCTTTAGAAGAAAGTCATTATGTGAGGCCCACACTTAGGGAATAGAAAGTTACATTAGTATGGACTTGTGGATATTTATTTTATACCTTGGCTTATAAGCTAATACTATTTTATTTTGTTCCTCAAATTGTTCTAGCTTTGGCCATTAGGAGCTCTTTCAATTGTTAATATGTCCCTTTGACATTCCCCCATAATTTTTTGTTTTTGAGCACTTCCTTACTTTCTGGCTCTGCAAGATGCTCCAGACTCATCTGTTATATTTCGTGCCCCAGCCATGGAATTAGTCATTTCTCCAAGGATCCTGGTTCTAGTTATTAGAGAATGGTATTAGAAACCAAGATCTGGGCTCTAAGTGTGCTGATGGCTACTGAGATGTCATTGGTTCTAGGCCCACTGAGCTCACACAGCATGGAGATGTATGTGTGTGTATACTAACTGTGTATACATCTATCTATAAATATTTCTGTATGTAACCATGTAGAGTTAATGAGATGTCATACTCATAAATGCGTGAGTTTATACCGATGTCTCCAACTCTAATTCATTACCACATGGACCACTCTAGCGTTCTCCCTTACTTGTCCATGTACCTCCTCAATTCAACAGTGAGAAACTTTGCTCCCACCATCCATTTACTTAATTTTTCAATTTCAGTATGCCAGTGTAGTGGTTGTATTAGTTTCACAGGGCTGCTCTAATAAATTACCACAAACTTCATGGCTTAAAGCAACAGAAATATACCTTCTCACAGTGCTAGAGGCTAGAAGTCCAAAATCAAGAGGTAAAAAATATGAGAGAAGAAGAAAACAGAACAGAGCATAAGAGAGCTATAAGACATGATCAAAAATTCTAGCAGAGTATAGTCGGAATCCCAGAAAGGGAAGAGAGACAAAATAGAGCAGAGTCAATAATTGAAAAAATAGTTGACAAGGACATTACCAATCTGGTGTAAGACATCAATATATAGATTTAAGACACTCAGCAACCCCAAGTAGAACAGAGAGAAATAAAACCACACCTCAGCACACCATAGACAAGCTGAAAACCAAAGATGAAGAGAAAATCATAAAGGCAATCAGAGAAAAAAAAGGCATGGTAATTACAGAATGACAATGTCATGACTTCTTTTTAGGTGTGCTAACCAAAAAAAAAAAAAAAAACATCCTGCCAATTTAGAATTCTAATTCCAGGCAAGATGGTATAACAACAGAGACCAGTTTATCTTCCTGCCTGAAGCAAACCATCTAGACAAAATTTTGAAACAGTATTTTTCTGGCATTGTGCATCAGGCAGCCCTGGACATTGTTCCTGAGAGAGGGGAAATAAACAAAGATTAGCCCTACAATTCCCCAGTTTACAGCTGAAGAGTTATCAGGCTGTAGTGAAGGCAGGGGAATCCACGTGGAGCTCAGCAGTCTCCCTGAGCTGAGGAGATGGGAATGGGGAGTCTGAGGAAGCCACTGTGAGAGTTCAGTGAAGTCTTGCAAGGGGAGAGCTGCGCAGAGTGCTCCAGAGACCTGCAGTACCTCTCATGTCTGCATCTGGGTATTGAGTAGTGCATGCATGGTAGGAAGCTACCTGAGGCTGGGAGCTGAACCTCTTGAAAGGATGAGAGGGAACAATCCTCACACAGAAATGGGAATAGTTCTTACCAGTCATAGTGGTAAAACCTTGTAATTCCTGGGACATTGCATAGAGTACTTAGGAGGGCTTTGCCTTAGTAGCGAGGAAAATTAGTGCTCCAGTATCACCTAACAAGGCAGAACAAAGCTCAAGAATATTGATAGGGAAAAAATAAGAAACAATTGACAATGTCTGACGTTAGCTAGGACTAATTTACCTTGCTAAGGATGATTCGGTGGGCAGGGCCACTCAAGCTTGTGGTGCATTTTCTCTTCTGAAAAAGATGAGAATAGACCAGCAACAGTACAAGATAGCACGAAATGAACCATGGTCATAAACTGGGCATGACTTTGATATATCCATGAGGTTTAAAAAGAAATATTATCAGGAATACAAGTAGAATATACACCATATGAAGAAATCATAGTTTATTTATGATAACATTTAGTATCCTCATCAGTTGTTTGATGAGTTTTAGAATCTAATATATAACCCTTGGCTCTTTTGAAATAAGATTGGATAAATGTTAAGTTTAGTTAGATCTGTACTGTGGGAACGTGGGTGTTATTCTATGTGCTTTATGTTTGGAATGCTAGTAGATCATTAAACTCTAGGGTGATATGACTGCCTAGGAATATGGACACTCACACCTCTTTATCCATTCACAAGGCTCCCAGTATAAGAGGCTGACTTTCCAAGATAGAGGAGGATCATTCCTCCATCAAATATGTAGAGACACATTTGGTCCTTTCCCAGACTGCCCATAAGTATGAAGAAATTAGAGAGTTGCAAAATTATAAAGGTTTGAATTTTTTTGAATGGAGAATAACATTTTGATGGCAGTTTAATAGTGATTTTCATGTGTATCAGGTTTTAATCTCGATGGTAATAACCAGGAGGTTTGGCAGGGGGAGGTTTGGGGATAAAGGAAACACTCATATTTGCTAAGTACCTACTATGTGCCATGAACTGTACTAAGAGCTTCTATCTGTTATCTCATTTTAATCTGTAGTCAATTTATATAATAGGCCTTATTTCCCTTCTATAGATGAGGAACCCAGGGGTCTTAGGAAAAAACAATTTGGTCAATACCACCAACAGTACTGGCAGAAGAAACTAATAAAGTGTAACACATGATTTATGAAACATTTACTAATGGTGAAAACTCTTAAGGTTTATGGTTGGTCACCTATAAAATTTAGCAACTTCTTTTCTGGAAATTTTAGACTTTTTTTTGTGATGGTTTAAGAATGGTCTTGCCTAAAGGCACAGGTGCATGGTCCTGCATGAGTTCTCAAAGTTTTTTCTAAGTCTTAAGGCACTATAATTTGGCATTTTTATGATCTCAAATTTGTTCTTATTTATTTCCTTTTCTTAAGGTGGATAATATAAATGCAGCTGCGATGGATTTGAAAAAAAAGAACATCCGTAGCCTAAGTGAAGAGGCCAAAATAGGAGCACATGGAAAACCAGTGATTTTTCTCCATCCTAAAGACTGTGGGGGAGTCCTTGTGGAACTGGAACAAGCTTGATTTATATTTGCAAGAAACTAAGTTAATTGACCTGAAAAAGCCTATCAAACACTATCAAAATGTACTGTAGCCTGAGTCCTTCACTGCTTTCATCACTTAAAAGTGATTTGGAGAAAACCTTGATTACGAAATACTTAGAGAACATGGTTAAAATCATATTCATAGAAATAAATTATCCCTATTCTAAAATGGGATGATTGAGTACAGTATGTTAGCTGTGTAAAAGGGGGCATGTGTGTGTTTGTATGTGTGTGCGTGAGGTCGGATGGATACACAAAGGAGTTATGAAAGTACACTTGACACTTGCATGCCTACATATTTAGGACAAAGATATTTTTAAAGATATTTTGGAACAAGCTTTTTAGAGTAAACTGTTTAAGGTCAGGGAGTTTGATCTCAAATTTTTCTCTTTAGGAATAACTCATAGTCACAAGTTCCTTAGGGGTGAGGTGTTTTGGATACTAGTGTTAGATGTATAAATAGGAAGTTTTGTGGAAATCTTTGTGCATGATCTGTTGGGTGCATAGATAGCTGAATTTTTTTAATTGGTAGTAATTTGTGAAGTTATGTATCACTTAGATGCTAGAACGACACAACAAGTCCTAGGGAAATATACAAAATGAATAAAAACCCACTGTCAAGAAACTTATGGTTCAGCTGGGAAAAGTACTACATGAAACAAATGTAAATACTTACAAAATGACGTATGAATAAGTTAAAAAGGAAAGGAAAGAGAATATAGGTCTCAGAGGATGAGCTTAGAGACATCAGATTTTTGGTCAGACTCTCAAATACATTAGAAACAAGTATCCGATGAATTTCAAGGATCACAGTTGGATAGATGCATGGAATGCATAATGTGTGGGAAAGTGGTTAACTTAAGTTCGTGGATGACTGAACGTTGAGTAAATGAGTAGATGTGTAGATACTGAGTTTATTATTATGGAAGGCAAGTATAATCCAATTTTACTTGTCATTTAAAAGTTAAAAGCAAAAACTGCAACATTGTCTGATGTATTTCTCAATGCATGTAGAGGTAATATTAAGGACAGCCGTATCATGGGGGGAGCAGTAAAAGGGACTTAAATGGTGGTTTAAATATCCACATTCCACTTGAAGTGGTAAGTGTTGATACTAGTAGACTATGATAGACTGCTTATGTGTATTGCAATACCTAGGATAACCACTGAAAAATTTCTATAAAGAGATACACTCAAAAACATAGATAAATCAAAATGGAATACTAAAGAATGCCCAAATAACCCACTCAAAGACAGGTAAGAGAAAATGGGAAGAACAAACCAGAAAACAATAAAATGACAGATCGACATCCTAACATAATCAATAATTACATTCAATTTAAATAGTCTGAACACATCAAGTAAAGATTGGGAGAATGGATTAAGAAACATAACCCAACCAAATGCTATCTACAAGAAACTCCCTTAAAATATAATGGTATTGGTAGGTTAACAGTAAAAGGATAGAAAAAGATATACTTTGCAAACACTAATCCAAGGAAAGTTGGAGTGGCTGTATTAATGCCAGACACAGTAGACTTCAATACAAGAAAATTGCCAGGGACAAAGAAGTGCATTACATAATGAACATAATAATGAAAGGGTCAGATCACAAGAAGACAATAGATATATCTGCTGTTGTTTTATACAACTAAAATTTAAAAAAAAAAAGACAAATTCACAGTTATAGTTGAGGACTTCAACACCTCTCTTTTAGTAATGGATAAACGCACTAGACAAAAAGCCAACAACTATATAAAAACCCGAACAGTACTATCAGCCAATACAAAATGCACATTCTCTGAACATATATGGGACATTCACCAAAAAAGACCATATCTTGGGTTATAAAACAAACCTTAACACAATGAAATAAGTGAAGCCATATAAAATATGCTCTGTGATCATAGGTGAATCAAACTAGAAATCAATAACATAATAGGAAAATTGTCCAAAACTTGTAAATTATCAAAGAGGATGTCTCAAGGGAAGTAAAGTACATATTAAGCTGAGTGAAAATGGGAATACAACAATCATTTTTTATAAAATTTATAAATTAATCCTTAAATTGATTATTTAATAAAATTTTGCTTTCATGAGAATGAAATTTGTTAGCAATAGATGCAAAATAGTACGTGCAGTAGGAAGTGGTGTTAGCCTCCTAGCAACCATCCACTATTTCTTCTCTAATAGAATTCTGACTTTGTTAGGTCTCCAAACTTATCGTCTCCCACATAGATAAAACCTCAGAAAAAGCTCCGTTAGACTTAAATTCCATCACTCTTGCCAATAATGGGTTCAAGGTTATGTAATTCATATCTGGAAAAAGACCATAAAGAAATGTTTCATAGAGCCTTCTGGAAATGTTCTTTCTTTGCTCCTAGGTGTATGAGAAGTCAGCCTCACCCACCAGAGTTGAACAAGGAAACAGGTCTCGTTGCTACTAGCAACTATCCAATGACTGTGAAAAATCAAACAAACCCACCCTTAGGATAATGATGATCCTGGTTGGCAGAGTAGATAGAAAACATTGTTTCCAATGACATTGTTTAAAAATACATTTATTATTGAATAACTGGTTGCTTTTCTTATGTTGGTGGGCTTTTTAAAATTAAGAAACTATTTTCACTAATAAAATTTCTAAAAAATAAAAATAACAATTACCAGTACACTTACATATTTTTGTGGTTTTTTTGTTTTTCTTGTTTTTGATGACCTTGACACTTTTGAGGATTACTGATCAGTTATTTTGTAAATGGGAAATAGAGATTTATCTGATATTTTTCTCATCATTAGACTAGGGCTATTGACTTTGGGAAGGAAGACCACAAAGGTAAAGTACCATTCTCATCATATCAAAGATACATACTTTCAACATGACTTATTACTGTTGATATTAACCTTGATCCCCTAGCTGAGGAGGTGTCAGGTTTCTCCACTGTAAAGTTACTCTTTTTTTTTCCCCTCCTTCTCCATACTATACTCTTTAGAAGAAAGTCATTATGTGAGGCCCACACTTAGGGAATAGAAAGTTACATTAGTATGGACTTGTGGATATTTATTTTATACCTTGGCTTATAAGCTAATACTATTTTATTTTGTTCCTCAAATTGTTCTAGCTTTGGCCATTAGGAGCTCTTTCAATTGTTAATATGTCCCTTTGACATTCCCCCATAATTTTTTGTTTTTGAGCACTTCCTTACTTTCTGGCTCTGCAAGATGCTCCAGACTCATCTGTTATATTTCGTGCCCCAGCCATGGAATTAGTCATTTCTCCAAGGATCCTGGTTCTAGTTATTAGAGAATGGTATTAGAAACCAAGATCTGGGCTCTAAGTGTGCTGATGGCTACTGAGATGTCATTGGTTCTAGGCCCACTGAGCTCACACAGCATGGAGATGTATGTGTGTGTATACTAACTGTGTATACATCTATCTATAAATATTTCTGTATGTAACCATGTAGAGTTAATGAGATGTCATACTCATAAATGCGTGAGTTTATACCGATGTCTCCAACTCTAATTCATTACCACATGGACCACTCTAGCGTTCTCCCTTACTTGTCCATGTACCTCCTCAATTCAACAGTGAGAAACTTTGCTCCCACCATCCATTTACTTAATTTTTCAATTTCAGTATGCCAGTGTAGTGGTTGTATTAGTTTCACAGGGCTGCTCTAATAAATTACCACAAACTTCATGGCTTAAAGCAACAGAAATATACCTTCTCACAGTGCTAGAGGCTAGAAGTCCAAAATCAAGAGGTAAAAAATATGAGAGAAGAAGAAAACAGAACAGAGCATAAGAGAGCTATAAGACATGATCAAAAATTCTAGCAGAGTATAGTCGGAATCCCAGAAAGGGAAGAGAGACAAAATAGAGCAGAGTCAATAATTGAAAAAATAGTTGACAAGGACATTACCAATCTGGTGTAAGACATCAATATATAGATTTAAGACACTCAGCAACCCCAAGTAGAACAGAGAGAAATAAAACCACACCTCAGCACACCATAGACAAGCTGAAAACCAAAGATGAAGAGAAAATCATAAAGGCAATCAGAGAAAAAAAAGGCATGGTAATTACAGAATGACAATGTCATGACTTCTTTTTAGGTGTGCTAACCAAAAAAAAAAAAAAAAACATCCTGCCAATTTAGAATTCTAATTCCAGGCAAGATGGTATAACAACAGAGACCAGTTTATCTTCCTGCCTGAAGCAAACCATCTAGACAAAATTTTGAAACAGTATTTTTCTGGCATTGTGCATCAGGCAGCCCTGGACATTGTTCCTGAGAGAGGGGAAATAAACAAAGATTAGCCCTACAATTCCCCAGTTTACAGCTGAAGAGTTATCAGGCTGTAGTGAAGGCAGGGGAATCCACGTGGAGCTCAGCAGTCTCCCTGAGCTGAGGAGATGGGAATGGGGAGTCTGAGGAAGCCACTGTGAGAGTTCAGTGAAGTCTTGCAA